TGACTTAGTATAAATCTGGGAAGTCTCCCTTTCTAAAGGGAGTGCTGCCCAAATTTCTACTAATTCAGAGAGTTAGACAGGATTTGACTTTCCAGAGTTAAGGATTATTTATGCTCTAATATCTTGGCTTATATAAATTATGAAAAGGCACGTTTCCTACGGGAAGCGCTGCCAAAATTTTCTTAGTTTAAAGGAGATAAATTATATTTTGATAGGAGATTTAGGCGATCCACCCAGAATAGGGGAAATTTTTGCAGTTGGTCTACCTTTAGCTTAAGCACCGACTTAAAAGTAGACTTAGGTTTAACTTATAAGGAGGTTTTGAGTAAGGATGTATTATGGAGTTGTATTCTCCATACACTTATGATCTTAGCTTGGGGATTGGTCTGCCGTGTGTTACACGTCCTTTTCATCATTTGATCAAAGTTCAGGGCTAGATTCAGCTTGATCCCTTGAGGATCACTTACTGTTATCACTGATAACAGGTCGGTTGCCGATTCGTCGGTCGAAGACTCAATTTCAACTCTCCCTCTACACTTAACCTAAAAGGCTTTAGCCCTGGTGATTTCATTGTTTTATGAAGGTTTCACCCGGACTTTTATTGAATGACCATTTAACAAAGGTGCTGAGTATTTAATTAAGGTTGGTTGGACAAGAGGTTTGGGGCTTGCATGGCTAAAGCGAGGGGTATGAATGTCGAAGGTGGTTGGGGTTGACTTCGTGTAGTGTGTGGGCTGTTGATTTGGTTCGCTGATGTGATGACAAGTATGTGCTGTGAATCAGATTCTGGATTTGGTTGCCTACAATCACACATATACGTATTATTGTGAGAGACCCCAGCGAAACCATGAGAAGTGATCGTCACATACTTAACCCTTATATATGTATACATGGGTATACTTGGGATGAATGTTTGCATGCGTTGAAGAGCCCCCACATTAGAGCCCCACTCAGAAGCTGAGACTGAGGGGCTTAGGGGGAGGTCTCTCCTTTTATTTTTGTCTCTTGCTTTTTGATGATTTTCTTAGTCGTACATTTGGTCCTGGGCCGGGATTCGAGGTCCTTGTCCAGGACATCCCAAGCCCTAGGCTCTGCAGGGGAGGGGTTTTCCCTCGCACAAAGCCTATTTGATTTGCCTACCGAGACACTCTGGCCGAGAGCCTAGGGTGCAGCGGCGGCTGCACGACTATTTCCTTCAGCCGTGCAATGTCGTGAAGGGTTAGGCCCTCACGACACTTCAAGTCTGACACTTGAGTGTCATAAGCGGTACTCGGATCCACGAAGGACCGCTTGATTATGGGCACTACATATTACGCCATCGTTGCGACTGCTTGTGTACGCCTGCATTGCAAGTCGATATGAGTATGCCCTGCGTCCGCGCGGTTTTATACTAAGTTTAGCGCGCGACGCCTATCCGATTTCCGCACTGGAAAGTTATGGGTTGGCTACCGAGGGGCTAGGAGCGTTGTCGCGTTGTTGGTATTGTGTCGTTTCGTATATATGTTGTTTTGTGTGTATGTGTGTTCGTAAAATGGAGTGCGAGTGGTGTGTGGGATGCGTCCTAGTCGACCGACGATGAGTCGCGATTGGGACCTCAGCCCCCTCAAGATGTCGGTTCGCGTGCGGGTCCGATAGAGGCGTATTACCGCGCGTACCCCCTGTGCTACAGCGAACGAGAAACGGCCTCGGCTGGTCCACCTCTGCGATTGCAACTGATCCCACCACCTTCCTTTCCTCGTCAGGATTGGGATATCGCCCCCCTCTCATGTTCCAAGGCTCGTGTGGCACGGTATGTATGCGGATCATAGGTATCTTGTCTACATCCAGCCTGCCACGCTCCTCGTCACTAAACGCGTAGGCGCGATGCTTCCTCTTCATTAATTCCACCATCAGCGTTCGCTCCTGAGGCAGCAGGAAATCAGACTCCCCTATGATCAACTCCTTCTCGTTCCCTTCGTTGATACGACATGGCCCTGCTAAAGCATTTTCCCTCATTCGTCGAATCAACCCTCGCTCCCTCTCGTAATATGCTTCCTCGTCCTCTGTAACGAGGACGGGTACCGGGCGGCGCTTCTTGTCTACCGTCTTGTACCGCCTTTGGGAACCTTGCTTGAGCCGTCCCCTAAAAAAAGGCCGACTCACAGATTGTGTTTGCACTGATGCGGGGTTTCCTCCGCTGCCTGGGAGCCGATATACCAATTCCAACCTTCCTGCCTCAGGGCATTCCAGAACTTGTTCCCTCAGGGCCTGGATGGCATCCGGATCTGCCATCTCATGCGCGGCCACCAGGTCCATGGCCTTCCCAACATCTGACAGGCTGAGGGAAAATGCCTCCACCCTCTCTCCTGCTTCGGGCTCAGCTGGATTGGGCCGGTTCCTTATACTCCTTGGCCCGGTGTTCCTGCAAGTAATTATTTCATAATTCCCGCAGGCAGGATCTCATAAGAGGAGGATCAACGCCCCATCATGTTTGTTGAACATCACGGTCTCTGTCCTACTTAGGAATGACCTCCCCAGGAGGATTCCATGGTCCACGTCTGGCATTATGAAGAAGCATGCCCTGGCCTTCACCYTTCCAACCTCGACGAGCACATTCGGGGCTGTCCCGCAAAACATGGCCTTACAGCTGGCTCCATGCAGAATACCGCAATCAAAACGGTCTATATCCAGCCCGAATCTGATCGCGTCCGCCTCCCGAATAATGTTCATCTCTGCCCCGGTGTCCACCATTGCTGCGCACTTGGAACCTTTCACGATCAAATCCACCGTACCGCAGGCTACGCACTTCCAGTCCATCTTCGTACCTGACTCTGCCCACTCTGCCTCCTTGGGCAGGATCGTACCCAGATGGACATTGGGCACCAGGCGCCGTGATAACCTCCCCTTCAGTTCATCGCGGAGTCGCGGGGCTGACGCTAGGATTTCCTTCAGGGTCGTGAGGTCATTATGCCCTTCCAGCAGCCGGTCAATCACCTTCTCTACGTCAAATCCTTCTTCCAACCGGACCGCGTATTTCTTCTTTTTGGGCGGTCCGTCATGTATGACCGGTTCGGCCTCTCCCCTGGTTCCCTTTTTCCTTGCCCGCTGCTCCGCTCTCTGATCCTCTTCTCTGCGCAGCCTCTCGTCCTCTTCCTCTTCATCATCGTCGTCTTCTACTTCCACAACTTTTTTCCTTCTCCTCGGTTCGTGTTCCCTCCTTGGAGGCTCTTGACTGGTATTGGCATTGGCTTGATTCCTCGTTTGCGCTGCCTGTGCCAGCCGGGCCTGCGGAGTGAGGGGTCTCCCCCTCATTCCTGATTGTGGGCACGACCCCACCACATTTACTCCGGGTCGCCCAGGCGCTGACTCCGGGCCGGAGTCATAGAGGAATACTGTGGGGATGTTAGACCTCCATCCTTTCACTTCTTTACAGAGGCCTACCAACTTCTGTTGGCGCCTCCCCATCTTATCCAGCAAGTCCTCCATCTTCTCAAATAAGACGGACGGAGGCTCCGTTCTTTCCTCCTCATCCTTGTCATCTGACTCGATGATTATGGCCTCTTCCGTCTCACTTCCTCCTCGTAGCCCTTGAGTCACTCCTCATCGCTTCCCACTTCTTCCACCCCAAACGGTGGTTCCTCATTTCCCTGCCATAGCCTGAACATGGCAGGGGGCGGTGGCCCCGCTGCCGCTCTTCGTTGGGCTTCAGCCCTCACTCCTCCAAACCTTCTGTCAATGGCCTCCCCAAACTGATCGTAGATATCCCCATCTATAGTAGAGAAAATCAGTCCGCTTCTCTCGTCTTCCCGTCTTATATTACAGAACCTTATAGTGTGGCCTTGCTGGTCACAATGTTGACAAATGACCGTCCTCCAATCAAAGCGGGGTCTTCCATACCCCAGACTTCCCTGATCCCCCTGGCCTTGATACCCCTTGCCTTGATAGCCCTGGCCTTGGTACCCCTGGCCTTGACTCCCTTGGCCTTGGTACCCCTGGCCTTGGCCATTCCATTGCCTTCCTCTTCCGCCGCCATTCCTGCCTCGCCCCTTTCCTCCACCCCTCCCTCCGCTGCCTTGATTGCCCTGCCCCTGGTTCCCACCTCCTACAACACTGCCCTGTGAACTGGGATCAGGTGACGGTGGCGGGGCCACAGGTTGGGCCTGGGCCGCGGGGTAGATGGGTGGTGGCATACTCGTTTGCGGTCCGGCTACTGGCGGCGTASTTCCCCATGACACAATTGCGTTGATCACCGGCCAGGGCCACTGTCCATAGGAGGACGCCCCACCTTGCGAGGGGCCCGTACTAGATGATGGAGCCGCCACATTTAAAGGGGCTGCTGCCTGGGTTTGAGGCGCCTGCGCTTTTCCTGATCCCTGTCCGCCTTGCGCCAAATTACGCACTTTGCGCTGTACCTTCGTCAGGTGATGCGGCACCGACTCTTCCTCTTCCCAGAGCTCCTCCTGACCAGCATCCTCTATCACTGACTCTTTTCCTTTTACTTTGACAGCCATCACCACCCTCCTTTGCACCACTGACTCTGTCGCATACCCTAGCTGTGCCAATACGTCTGTAACGATCCTTGTTACTCCTGGGGTCCCAGAAGCGGTCGCATCTCTTTCCTTTCTCTTTTGTCTTTGCAGGCGTACCTGACGTTGTTCCACCTGGTCCAAGCACCCAACTTCCACCCCCCCTGTCAATGGTGGCCCAGGTGAGCTTAGTGCTACCTYCTCCATGTCTCGTCAATTCGACGACCTCCGATGTTGTGAGTAGCCCCAGGAAGATGGCGCACTGTGCTTCCTCTGAAATCCCATGGACCTTCCGCGCCCTCTTCTTAAATTCTTGAACAAAGGCCCCTATAATCGTAAAATCCTCTTTGTTCAGCGCTTCAAGGTCCGTGGTAGTCAACAATCCGTCTCCCAGGCGGTATTTCCTCTGCATCCCCCCCTTGAACCTCTCCCAGCTACCTTGAGCCGCATCTATGACTTTCTTCACCTCCTGATGGTAGTTGTGGAGGACATACTGAAGGATGCGTTGAAACTTTACAACATCCGGCCGCCCGACCAAAGCTTGTTCCACCCGCTCTAGCCATTTCGAGACTCTCTCCCCACAGAAATGGAAAGTATCGACCATTGGGATGTTGCTCGGGTTCCTTTCATGTCGGTCGATGACCGCAATGAGGTCATCGAGTGTCAGGCCCTTCTTGGGAACAACTGATGCGCCGCCAGTCTCAGGCATCTTGACAGCCTTTTCTTTTTAAGTTCCCTGGCAAAAGAAAACAAGCACATCCCCTTATTCAACATTATACCTTGACCGGTCTATTCCATCCTTCCTACCTAACCCTTAGTACTTACTTTCCCCATTGTTAACACGATCGTCCCTCATACTTCCTCTACTTAGGTAGGTAAATTTCCTCACCTACACTTAGTCATTCATATATTCCTCCATTACCTTCTCATCACTCCTTTATGCCTTTTCTTATTCACTTCTCATACCCGGATGTCGTTCCACCAGCGACAACGGTAGGCTTTCCGTTATCCCCGGCAACGGCGCCACCTGTCGGGCACATCGGTCCGGCACCGCACGGGGGCAGCGCGGGACCCTCCCGGCCGCGTCACGCAGGAGTTGGTTTTTAGAACTCTTCGTCGCAATATTCATGGAGCTTCCGCAAGCCGCTCCGGCCGGGTGCGCCATCCATACCTCTCGCGAGCCCCTACGACAGGATAGGGCCTACGCGAGGCACGACTTACCTACACCTTACGAGAGCTGTCACCTCCCTTCGGTGGGCGTATCCCCACCGAGCTACCAGTCCACAGTACGAAAACTAATCAGTTGCAATCGCAGAGGTGGACCAGCCGAGGGCGTTTCTCGTTCGCTGTAGCATAGGGGGTACGCGCGGTAATACGCCTCTATCAGACCCGCACACGAACCGACATCTTGGGGGGGCTGAGGTCCCAAGCGCGACTCATCGTCGGTTGACTAGGACGCATCCCGCACACCACGCGCACTCCACTTTACGAACACATATACACACAAAACAACATATATACGAAACGACACAATACCAACAACGCGACAACGCTCCTAGCCCCTCGGTAGCTAACCCATAACTTTCCTGTGCGGAAATCGGATAGGCGTCGCGCGCTGAACTTAGTATAAAACCGCGCGGACGAAGGGCATACTCATATCGACTTGCAATGCAAGCGTACACAAGCAGTCGCAACGATGGCGTACTATGTAGTGCCCATAATCAAGCGGTCCCTCGTGGATCCGAGTACCGCTTATGACGCTCAAGTGTCAGACTTGAAGTGTCGTGAGGGCCTAACCCTTCACGACATTGCATGGCTGAAGGAAATAGTCGTGCAGCCGCCGCTGCACCTTAGGCTCTCGGCCTGAGTGTCTCGGTAGGCAAATCAAATAGGCTCTACGGGAGGGAAAACCCCTCCCCTGCAGAGCCTAGGGCTTGGGATGTCCTGGACAAGGACCTCAGATCCCGGCCCGGGACCAAATGTCCGACTAAGAAAATCATCAAAAAGCAAGAGACAAGAATAAAAGGAGAGACCTCCCTCTAAGCCCCTCAGTCTCAGCTTCTGAGTGGGGCTCTAATGTGGGGGCTCTTCGCTGGGGGCTCTCACAATAATACGTATATGTGTGATTGTAGGCAACCAAATCCAGAATCTGATTCACAGCACATACCTGCCATCACATCAGCGAACCAAATCAACAGCCCACACACTACACGAAGTCAACCCCAACCACCTTCGACACTCATACCCCTCGCTTTAGCCATGCAAGCCCCAAACCTCCTATCCAACCAACCTTAATTAAATACTCAGCACCTTTGTTAAATG